GGCACTTCCTTCTTCCCGAAAGTCGTGTCATTATATTTGAAATGATGAGGAATGGTAACCATGACAGCGGAAAAGCCAATCAAATCACAGCAAACGGTTGCTATTGATCGATAGGATTAAAGGGACGCACACAGTTAATCACAACCATCAAACAGAACTATATAAACCGCGTCCCACTGGGGATTTGCGCTTCCTCGAAGTCACACTGATGATGTTGCCTGCGAAACGTCTGCGAACAAAACTAGCCGCTCGGAGAACTCACCAAAACCGGGTCATTATATAATCAATAAAAGAAAGTAAAAAAGAAAAAGAAAGAAAAAAGTAAATCGTCGAATGAGTTACCGATTCACAAAGAAGAGCTCGCGAAAAGCTCGGCCTGACAGTCCCATGTTATCGTGATGTTTGATGCAGAATACCACCTCACAAAATCTCGAACCCCCCCCCCTCCGGAGTGCTCAACGGACCACAGTATTTTTCTTTCCGGAAGTCATTCTAAAAAGAAGGCGAGTTAGCTGGCAAAACGGTGTATGTGTTAAATCATATACAATCGATTCTAAATCGCGCGACATTATGATTCATGCCTCGTTCTGTTGGGCAATCCTTGTTGGTTTTGGTCCGCACTAGGCACGCACGTTGCCTCTTCTTTCGCATACGTCCAGCCGCTATGTCTGCGCAACTGGTTGGACGGGCCCTTTTACTGATTCGTTCGCTCGCCGGGGCGCTCTTTTTTCCTCCTCGGATCACACACAATGTGTCATGGTTTGCCCTGCATTTGTTTTTACCTATAACATTGCATCTAATCGAGAGCAGGACGCAGAATTGGGTTCCACAAGGCAAGTATTTCACTTGAATTGAACATGTGCAACTCATCTGATAAGAAGCTGCAACGCGTGGAAGAAATCGTTTAACTGCACTACAATAAATTTAGTATGAAGTTAAAGTGCAATTTTTAAAATAGATGAGCAGATATAACACGTGAAGCGTGTAAATACTGGTGCCGTCGACCGTTCTGAACGAGTTTATGTTGTGTGTGTATAAGGATCCTGGTAGGTGTTGAGGAATTGCACCATCAATTTATTCTAGTAGTTGACTCTGCTAGTCACCAGTACAGAGCGTTTCGCTCAGTCGAGAATAGACCGAGTTGTTTGGTGAAAGAGCATAGAATGTCAGCGTGTTTGGATTAACGAATAGGTGGGTGGACATCGCGAATGTGTGCTTGAGGATTTGAAAAATGGTTCTTTGTGTCAGATGTTGGTCTAAAGATGCCAAAGTCAAAGTCAAAGTTTTATTGTGGGAAATACTTACAAGCGGTTACTTTTCTAGTCCCATAGGATTTAGCACAGAAGAATCGGTTTACAGTTCATACAAAGTAGATGAATGTCACAATTTGTCCTTTTTTCGTGCTCCTCTACGGACGTTGAAATTTAAGACTTTCAAAGCTTCATCCAGTTTGTGCTTGAATGCCAAAAGTGATACGCGTTAATCATCAATGAACGCCGGGTTACCGACATATATTGGAAATGGAACCGGAAGAAGGAATATCAGAAGAATTTTGCCACTGAATATTAATTGCTACCAATAAATAAATCAATTGATAAAATACCTTGAGTCCAAAGAGTAGTTTTCGACTAATAAAGCAGCTTGTGAGAAAGGCCGCAACCCTGTAACAAACAGAACGGTTTTGATTGGTTAAATTTGTTGAGAAGAACTAATTACTGTTAGACATAATAAATAATATGAATCGATTATTATGATATCTCATGGCAATCAGTTAGTAAATCCATAATTAAATAACCTTATCACAGCTACCGAGTGACGAAGAAATCACATTTTTCAGATATACTGCATGATTTTATTTGGACCAGTGGACTTGATTTGGAAACCGTTTTACGGCCTCAAAACAATTTTTTCATGCTCTGCGGGGGAGAATAGGAAGGGTTTTACTTATTAGAACAAAACGGATGACCTCCATCTTCTTTGTTCTTTTTCATTTCCACCTTCTTTGATTGAATACATAAAGAACTTTCATCTTTCAAAAAGTAGTAGCGGTCAATCAAAGAGCTGTCGCAGACAACGCACAATGGGGCTTTGTGGCAGAAATTACAAGAATTAATTTTTTTTCCGCTCTGCAGAAATGCGTCCGCCAGTGGTGAATCCAAATCCTCTTGTTCAATGCATCCCAGGGGACCGTTTCTATCAGTCTGGCGGCTAATCAATTAACAACACATTTGCAAAAATCCAATTCAGGGAGTTTGGTTTGGTTCCCTCATCTCGATATTTTATTTGTTATTCCTGAATTGTCGTATTAAAAACTCTGTTCCTTAAGTTGGGTTAGTGAATTAATTGTTCTGAATAACATGAAGGTGGAGTTCGATTGGCAAATCTATTTTCAGATTAGGTAGCCATGTATGCGAACAACGGAGTTTAGACTGCAGGCCACAGAAAATTTTCACGGCCTTTGCCCATCTGTTGGCAGCTTTTTTCCCCGATTGTGTAGGGTTTCTATAATGCAGCTTCTCACGCTGTCGCAAGGTGGATGGAATATGAGCCGGTAGTTATGTGACTAGTGAGCAATCATGGTTTTTTGTATGGGTCTCATTTCGCCCCTGTTTGCCGATAGATTCAGGGTACCGGGATGGTGGGATTTATATCAGCTAGACGGGAAGAGACACGGGGAGTAATAAGAACTCAGACAATGTGTTATGTGACCATATATCACAAAGACATTGAACATGGCAAAACAGATCCAAATCTATGAATACTAGCCGAACGACTTGAAAAGGGAGGCAAAGTTTGTGGAGGTACGTCAATAGCACATACATGCATACACAGACGTAAATGTTTCTGAGGAAAGAACATGTAACTTTTGTTCACAAATTCCTAATCGAATGACGGAATGTATCTCACTGAAAAGAATGTAATGTATTCTAGCGCCAAAGACAAGTGCAGCAAGTAATGTTTGCATGAATCACACTCCTTCCCCCTCGGTTCATTTGATAAAAGTTATAAGGTAATTCCTCAGTGTATGTTATAATTTTGAAGTAATAATAATCGGTCAAAGTGTAAAAATCTGATGAAGACCAAGATGGCGTCCGTAGATGTTTGATAGGCAGTGGTGGTCAAGTCGTTAAGATCATCGACCTATTGACCGGAGGACGTGTGTTTGAATAACAGCAACCGCACCTGCAACCCAGCTGTATATCACGATGTATGTCCCCAGGCAGCTCCCGGAAGGCTGCAATTCACCTCTGAACCTTTATGGATCCCATAACATAAATGAAAATATTATTATCAACCAGAATTGCGTTATGATAAACAGTATTCGCTGAATGTAATGCACTCAAATATTTTCTCTATGATCAAATTGATTTTTATTATATTTATCACCTATAATAAGGCCTTAGGTTTGGACAATAATGTATCTTTGGTCTACTTTGATCTATGTAGTTTCTAAGTTGCGTGACTGTCAATTCAACGTTCCTGATCTTGAGTGCCAAGATTGAATAATCTCAACATAAAAATCGCTCATTTTAAGCAACTTCCCCCTAATAGCCCGGATCTCAATGTGATTGAACAGAGTCAATGTACTGCCTGTACATTAGACATTGAAGGCAAAAGTGCGATACGTAATGGAGCACACAATAGAAATTGACTCCATAACAAAGTTGGTGGATTCGATGCCAAAGAGACTCAAAAATGTCCTAAAGAACAAAGGCAGACCAATCGACTGTTGGTGTACACAAACATTACATCTTAATTGTTATCAATTTTAATTTGTTGTAAATAAAAACCGTTCCATTCTCTTTAGTCAGGTCTTAACTCATTACTGTTTAGGTCAACCACTAATGACGAAATGAGAGTATCCGTTACATTCGGAACCATTCCACTTGATGAGTAAGAACGAATCACGAAAATCAATGCTATAAAGACTCATCAAAGCTTGTTTGTTATTATTTGGAAAGAAATATCTACATCAGCGTAAATGTTGTTGCCTATACGAACTGACAAGTGTTTCACAGGGACCCGTTGTTTCAGTTTCGATTAGACCTGTATTACTTGCGTTCGGCGAATACAAGCGCCTGGGTGTATCTTTGAGTTTTAATTTAACTGAAGTCATAATTACTTTATGAAAACGTTCTGTCGGATTTCATGCCAAAACGTAGTATAAATTAACCTTGTATTCCGAGTTTACTCAAAAACACTCAATTCGGTGCAGTCACTTGGTTGATTTAATGTTTTTAACATCATAGATTGCAGGTCATGACTTTATCAACACATGCAAACTTTTAAAGTCGGAACTCCGTTCCGTTTATCTTTAGTCAAATTCACTTCCGGAACTGTATAGATGGACGGTTTTACCACGATGCTGGCTAAACGCGGGTATTCGATGTACCCATCTCTTGATTCTTATCAGTTTATAGTTTCATGGTCATCATGCCTCATAGGAAAGTAATATTTGGAGTAACATCAGAAAACAATATCTGTGCACATTTATATGACGAGAAAGGGCGAGTTCAATTAACTGAGAAACATAATCATATCTTCATCCTTCGAGTTCGAGGTTAGTTACTATGTGAAACAACCAAAATGCATTGATCATGATTTGTTGAACATTTTTTGCTCAGATGTAATGTTCTCATGTGTGCACGCAAAAAAACGACAGATGTTTGATGAAATAAACAGTCTTATGTTTTAAGAGAAAAGAAAAGAACACTGACTGAACGGTAAAACAAATGACGACCGAGAAAAATCCCATTCAATTGAAATCCACCAATCGCATGGGGGCATTTTTTAGCAGGAACTATAATCTGATTGGTCAATTTTGATTCTCCACAGAGACTTGCATCCTTGGGAAAGTTGGAATATTGTTAAACAGCATTTGCCCATTTTTAACGGAGATGATGCTGACTGTGTCAAATGAACTGTGAATATGTACTCTATGTACCCATTCGTTCTTGCGTAAAAAATTTACACTCGAAAATCAGCGTGATTCTTTCATCATGAATGTGACCGAGAATATACGGAATGTTTCTCAAAGTGTATCCCCGAATCACACGTGTTTAATGTGGAACGAATCCAATGAGAAGCGTTACGGAGGTATTGTGCACCTTGACATCGTCTCACTTGTTCAGCTCATCATAAACATAGCTGGTGTACTGGGAAACGCTATCATTATAGCATTTTTACGCAAACATTCCCTCGGCGGTCGACTACCTACAATATTTTTCCGATCTCAAGCTATATGTGACTTTCTAGTTAATTTGGAATCGATCTTTTTCGGAATAGATGCGGAATTATGGAGTCTGCCAGTAGACTGGGCCAATCATCTTGTCTGTCGTCTTTGGCATAGCCAATTTCTGTTTTGGCTCGCTGTGCAACTGTCAATCGGCAATTTGGTCCTGATCGGACTGGAACGTTTTCTTGCATTGTCGTTCCCAATGACCTATCAACGATTGCAACCTTCTCGTGTGGCATACTATTGCATCTCTGGCAATGTGGTGTACAACCTGATCATGGCATCACCGAATATCCTAGAAACCGGTGTCGAAAATGGTTGCTGTATAAGTCAGCATCACGTGACTTCAACCGGAAAACTGTTAAGCGCCTACTCGATTGTCTGGTTTATAATGATTTACCTTTTGGCTTTTGTTCTCCTGATCATATTCTACGGTGGAGTGATTGTTGCATTACGCGAATCCGCCCTACTCCATCGGGCTGCCACTCGGTCCGTGGCCATGATGCGCTTCACTCGAATGGCCATAGTGATTACGGTGGTCTATGTGGCCTGTATCT